AAAAAAAAAAAAAAAAAAAAAAAAAGGAAAAGGGTCAAGTCCATATGGCCACAGAGAAGTATGAAATTTTAAAAACTTTGATCTTTTATGATCAAAGTGAGAATAGTGTTCTCTTTAAGGAGGAGGCGGGGTAAGAGGGAGCCTTCTCAGGTCCTGGAAATGCCTTGATCCAGGTGTTGGGTTTCATGGATGTGTTAAGATGTAAGTTATGTAATTTTTAGAAATTGCTATATGTTTTCAGAAGTACCTTTCTATGACATTTTGGACAATTCAATGAAAACATGCTTATAAAATGTATATTTAGACTTATAATTTATACTTAAAATTCTTCCCTGGATATAAGTAAACAGTTTAAAAATTTTATACCATAAAGCTCAAGTCATATTTACATTTGCTTCGTTAATGACATGGCACATCAGCTTTTAGTCTTTGAGGTAACTGCACTTAGGGAGATGCCCTGTGGTCACATATGTTTCTAGCCTTTGCTTTCCTTTCTCATTTTCTCCTGTCAAATGCAGGCTATTCTGCTAAGGAGGAAAAACCCAGCTCCTTTGTATCTGCAGACAACACTAGTCCGAGTAATTGACAAACCACACTATAGCGGGGAACTCAATGTATCCCTTTGGAGCAAGTGTTCGCATTCTGTATCATTCCAGCATCATTCACAGCTAGTACAGATGGTTCTTTCTTATGCTGAGAAGAGCCTGAAGTTTTCACCAGGTAATTTTTGATTTCTTTACTGACCAATATTCCCTAAATTCATAACAAAAATGTAATAATTTTACCATGTTAAAAAGATCACAATTAATAAGAGCTTGTTTATCACCTAACCATAATATAGTTAACACATGGCAGAAGAAATCGGTTGGGTTTAAAAATAGCTTTATTTAGCATACCAAAAACACAGAAACATAAGAAAAACCTTACCTAGCATAAACATAAAAATAGTTAAATACCATAATTTAATGTAAACCAAGTGTTTAAAAATGTGTATTATAAAATACATGCTATTTACACAGAACCAAGTTAAAGCTACCTCCACAGTTATCCTATCAGATCATCAATCTTGAAGTCATCAGTAACAGTGAATCAAACACAGCATCTGTATTTGTACTGGTCAACAGGAAAACAAGAAATCATTTAATTTACTTTAAACAGATACGGCTCATTGTAACATTCAAAGCAGGGAGGCAGAAAAGTGCCAGTTCTAGGATTCCAGACACAAGCAGTGCATGTGGATGCCTGGAAACGGGTCCACTGGAAGACCCGGCAGCCCATTCTTTCATTTAAATGCACATTGGTTGATTCAATTTAGTTACTACTTAAGGAAGGTACTAAATATATCTGTAAAAATAAACCTTTATTAAAAATAATCAAAGGTGAATGTAATAGGTAAGAAAGGCCAAAGCATAAAAAATACGTTATTCCAGATAAGCCCCTTTAATTATAACAAATGTTAAGAAACGCAGTTTATAAAACCAGATGGGGTGGCAAAAGGGTTTCTAAAAGTGTCAAACCCAAACCAACATCAAACTAAACAAAGTAACCGAAGAGACTGTTTCTTGAAGAAAGTATTTTGTTTATTTTATTCTGTCATTATCACCTGACTGCTGCCAGGAGACCTGTGGCTGATGCCAGGTATCACTGTGGAGTAGTGTGGTCTGTGACCAACAGTCTAAAAAGCTGTAGTCATTGATCAGTTTAATCATTTGGCTTCTCCTTCAAGGATCAACATTCATTCTTATACTGAAATTCGGGTATCTCTAAGAGGCAGCATTGAGTCCAATAGCAGGAGTTTAGAATGTAAAGTAAGATTGCAAGAATACATACTTAGTCATAGAACATCCTGCTACTTTGTCTAATCCTGTAATTCTCAAACTTTTGGTCTCCAGACCCTTTTATACTCAACATTTGTTGGGGATCTGGACACCAAAGAGCTTTTGTTTATGGAGTTTATATCTACCAGTATTTGCCATCTAAGAAAGTAAAACTGAAAAAATTTTAAAGTATTTATTCATTTAAAAAGTAAAAAGTCCATTACATGCTAACATAAATAACACTTTAAAGAAAATAGTTATATTTTCTAAAACAAACAAAAATTCATGGGAAGATGGCTTTTACATTTTTAACTACTTTTTGAGAGAGAGAGAGTGGAAAGACACCTAATGTCTTGGTTATTATTATGAGAATACTTTTGATCCCCCAGATCCCCTCAGAGGTTCTCAAGGACACCCAGGGGTTCACTGGCCACACTTTGAAAACTGCTGGTTTAATCTAAGGCCTGTTATTAATGACAAAAAAGTCCACACAAAAGGAGCCTTACTTTTGCTTTAAAAATAAACCAAAATACATACCTACACACATGCACACAAATCACTGGCTCAAACACTCCCACTCTCAGCTTTAAATAGAAGCCACAGATCACCATGTACTCATGACCAAATTCAAAATAATATTGTCATTTGTGCTGAGACCAGGTTCAAGATTTATTCATTTTTAGTCCATGAAAGCTATAAAACCTATTATCTAAACATAGACATCTTAGTTCCCTTTCCAACATTTGCTTAATCCTGTTTGTGCTGAGCTGGCAGTCGTCATTAGGTAGGCCCAGCATCGGTAGAGACCAGAGAATGACAGGTGTTTAACTAAGAGCCCACACACTCAGATTAGGAACACGTTAGCCATTTATGGAGCTGCCTACTCTACTTCCTCACTATGTGAAAACTCAGATACATTTTAGGGAAACGGGGAGAAAATTCTCCCTTCATAGGAGCAATGAGAACGATGCTATGACCTCTCACCTAGAGAGCTCTTCACATCTTACAAATGACTTCCATGCACACCATCTCATTAGATACTTTTAAAGCCCCAGGAGAAAGGCAGGGCAAAGGATACTATTGCTGTTTCAGAGGGGAGGAATTTGAGGGTCAGATGTGGGTCTTTGCCAAGGTAGACTGGCAAGTGTATGGCAGAGCGGAATTCGAATTCAGATCATCTGACTCCTTAGTTCAGGGTCCTCCCTTCCTTGGGTTTGGGGGAGTCTGGGTGGGCTGGAGATGGAGGCAGCATGGTATGACACTTCCAAAACCTGCATTCCTTCTGCCTGCTCAACCGTTTTATCCAACAGTACGCAGTCATGGGAGTGGCGCAGACATTTCCCTGACCGATGTAATGAATTTTCCATCAGTGCATGTATAACTTTTATTTTTTTCTTTCTGAGCCACTTTATGTTGGCAGTTCATTCACAGCCTGTTCCCCCTGCTCCAAGGGAAAAGTAAAAAACCTGCAGTTAAAAAAAAAATTTGATGAAAATACAAAATGAAATAGCAACAGTGAGGTCTGTGTGCAGGTATAACTAGATTTATTGTGCACCTGGCACAGCACAGACATTGCAATTTTCCTCCACCAACTGGAGAACAATATAAAAATCACAGTTCTTAATTTAATGGAAAATTGCCTCCTAATCATCTTGAGACAAAGGCTTCACCCTATATAAAAACATTAAGAAAATAATTTCAGGAATTTTAACTAAATTCTTAGGTGCTTGAAGAGTCTGTGGTGGTAGGAGAAGGAGTAAAGGGCAATGAAACAACGAGAAAAAAATACTGTCACCAATGGGCAAAGGAGAGATCTGCATCTGTTCCCTGTCATTAATACGTGTATGTACTTGAGAAATTATTCTTTTGCCAGGAAATCCACTCCATCAAGATGTTAATACAAATAGCATGAGACATGCAAAGATAGTGAGCAAATACTGTTTAATTTTTGTGGGCAGTCAATAACAGCAACAAAAATCCCTCCTACGAAACCAGCCAAATGCCACTAAGGGGACCCATGATTTTCTTGCTGTCCACTGAAATAAGCAAGGTATTGTTTATTGTGCCTTCCTTCTCTGTCAGTCACCTTCTGAGCTGTTCCTATAGTCAAGATTGACTACATGCATTTTTTTTTTCCCCTTTAAGGTAGTTGAAGAAGGTTAACAAAAGCCTGTAAGAATCAGAAAACATGCTAAGTTCATCTTATTTTCAAAATTCAACAGCATGTTGCTGCCTGTTACACAACTTGTTGGTGCCTTCTCCCCCACCCCGGTTTTGGTGAGTAATGTTCTAACTTTACAGGTGATTTAGATAGATGTTAATGACTTTTTAAGACAGTTGCCCGTACACTGGGCTGATGTACACACACATATATGTGCATGTACATATATACATAAACATATATGCGTACACACATGTACATCTCCTCACATGAAGACCTCCACTAGTATTTTTCCCTCTTAGCAAAAATGAGCATGGATAATGAATTTATAGTAGGAAACAAAACTAATGAAAATCAAATCAGAGGATGTGAAGTGGTATGCTGTCAGAATCCAATAAGTCAAATGCACATTTATGTAGTGGTAAAGTGCTAGAAAGTTCTTTCATTAGTATTTTAAAAATGATTATAATAAAAAGAAGTGTGCAGTTTCATTTGATGGTGGTGACCACAGGCACCATAGCAATGGCACTGGCTGAGTTGGAGTTGATGATGTCCTCATACTCCGGGGGTGGATCTAAATGAGGTTCTGTTTCACTCCTCTGCAGGTTCACCTGACCAGTGGCTTCCTCGTAGGTCGGTGGGGGATCGCAGTTGGACAGGCGAGTGGAGACGGAATCTGAGCGCCCAACTACATATTCCAGAAAGCCTGGCGACAATCCGCTGCTATCAAAGACTTCATCTGGTGGAGGAGGCGGAGTGATAATATTGAGGGGCTGAGGGAAAGGAATATGGCCTTCAGTCACCGTCTGTCTGCGAGTTTTGTTTCTTAGGAAGCATCTCCAGATTAGGAAAATGACAAGGAGGATAATGAAGAGGCCAAAGATTAAGGGAAAGGTAAGGTAAAACTGAAACCAGTCACTTCCTCTGTTACTCTCTCCTTGTTGTGCTTTTGTGTAAGTGTTCCAAAACTCCTTCTGAAAATACAAGACAAAATGAATTGAAAAATCAGTGTACTCAAAAGATAGGAGATAGATAGCAAATGAACACATATCTGGGTTCTGTTAACATGATGAAAACAAAACCCAAAACCAGACTCGCTGGTTCAGATGACCTACAGCCTATATTTTCCCTGACAAGAAGTTAGAAATCATGGTGCTCACTCCGGATCCTCCCCTACAATAGTCAGTCAGAACCAAAAGTCTTCAAGACTTGGGGAAAAAAAGCATAAGGGATTTTCCTCTTTCCAAATATAGAACATAATCTTCCCTTTAAAATATAAGTTAAATACCATTTTCCACGTCCAATTACGAGGTTCTCATTCACGCATCCCATCATCATTGTGCTATTCCTGGCTGTTGTAGGCTCTTAGTGTTCAAATGCTTCACAGATGAATGCCTTGTTTTCTAATGGTTCGGTTTGGGATCCTCTTCTACCAGATATTCCTCCCCAGCCCCAAAGTACACAGCTCTCATGCATCTAAGTAAGACCCTAGCATATAAACATTCAATGAGTAGTAGTGATTATAATGAATTCTTGTATATCATAATCAAGCCTCTGCTTCAAATTGACTGATTAATCTATATCCCAAATCTTGGTACAAACCCCACCCCCAGTGCTACTGACTTTTTTTTAACAATATTTGCAGGCACTACAGGTCACTGATATTATTTAAATATCTGGCAGAAAGTAAGACGGTGGGCACTATAAAGCTGCTTGTTTTATAGTACTATATTTTATTAGTCAAAAGACTTTTAAAATACTCTGGGTATAACAAATGACCCACAGTCATCAATGTCCCACCCCTGAACTCAATCTCCTATAAGGTACATTATTATTTCAACATTCTGTGATTCTAAGATAAAATTTCAATATGCTATAAAAAATATGGTATTTACTAAAGGCTATGTACAGATGAAAATACACAAGGTGCAATATTAAAACAAGCCCAGAGTAGAGACAGTATAATCCCAAATCATACAGCATTTATTTTAGGACAATACCCCAAACTGGAAATTATATTTTTATTAGTGAATCAGTCACTTGATAATCACAAGTGGAAAACTCATGAAACACAGACACATGAAGCTTTTTTTAAACAATAAAACTGTACACTATTATCTTTTTGTATAACTGTTACTTTTAGGATTGCCAACTTTACTACAGAAAATATATATTACATAAAAATTTACTAATGCAGAAACATCTAAAAAAGAAAACCAATCATCTGCAATTAATTACATTGCAAAGATCATTTTGGTTTACATCTACTCTTACTTCCAACTCACATTCGAATCCTTACACACATACACATTCTTTAGAAATCTGGAATCAAACTGTACTAAACCACAATAAACTTTTTAATAATGTACCTACAGAGACCTACCAAGTATCTGATTTGTAGTCGATTTTCTTTACCTATATAGATGACGATTCCTCCTCTCTTCCTAATCTCTCAGATCACCATCTCCTTCCCCCTGCCCCTGCATTTAATCTTAACCACAAAACACAATATATATGTGATTTCAGATAATTATCTAATCTTAGATAAACACAATAAAATGTGGCCTTTTAATCTTGTCCAGTCACTTTGGGATAATCAAGCATCAGTGATGCACATGAAAACGATTCTTTTTTGTCATGCTTGTGTGATTCAATTTCTGTGGTTTCTTTGGCATGCTCAGAAATTAATCTACAGACCAGTAATTTTTTTTCTTTGGGAGAAACAAACTTTAAAACAAACAAAGTCACACTTGTATTTTCCAGGGTTAAAAATATAGCTTAGGCAAAAATGGAATTACAACACCGATTTTTACTTTACCTATAGCAACTCAATTCTTAAGCCACACCCAATAATGAAGGTATAATTATCATCCCTACTTGCAGATGAGGAAATGGAGGCTCAGAGATGTTACTGAGTAATAAAACCAACGTCATTTAACACGCAGATGTTGAGGCTGGGATTTGAATGCCACAGGCCTGGCGTCAGAGCAAACCAAAAAGCAATCTGCCCTGATGTATAAGGTATTTTAAACCTGGACACTTTCCTAGAAAATTCAATCTTCTCATCATGTTAAATGTGGAGTTGAAAGCAAGTAACACTGATCTGAATAAAAGGTACTGACAGATTTATTTCTTGGGAAACTAGCCTTACTTTGTCTTTGAGGCAAGAGAAGTGGAGAAATAGTCACGTGAAATCAAGTAAAATACTATGAATGCCATTCAAACAAGTAAAATATTATAACTGTCATTCAAACAAATAAACCCAGTTTATGTCTTTCTGAGCGCTTTAGATTCTTCTCTATCTTACTGAAAACAGCCAGAAGATATTCAGAAAGAGCAAATAAGTGATTTCAAGACTTGGTAAAAACCCTTAATCTTTACTGCAGAAGGTATTCATATGGATTAAGACTTGCCCACCAGGTGAGTGGCAAGCAGCCTGCTTTATGAAGAAGGTATTACTGATCTCCAATGTGAGGTAACACAGGTTTTGTTGTTACTGATGCTTCTGTTTTGTTTTGTTCCTTCTTTCCACGATGGCTTTTACTTTTGTCATTTCTTAACCCTGGTCTGGATCTTTCCGATTACATGTAAGGATCAAATTTAACTTGCATGGAAAATAATTTATAACTAAATATAATATAATAATGATATATTACAATGTGATATTATAACTAATAAAAACATAAAAAGACTTGGTAAAACAGTGCTGTCGAGGGAATGAAAATTTGTTTAATGAAGAAAAAATTTTAATGAAAAAGATTAAAGGGCTTCAGTAGTTTTAGATAAGGCTAAAATGATACAGATAATAAATGTAATCTGAAGGGACCAGACAGGTCTGACAATCATTTCAGATATGGAAAAACCCTTGCATCCCTGGGATAAATCCCACTTGATGGTGGTATATGATCCTTTTAATGTATTGTTGGATTCAGTTTGCCAGTATTTTGTTGGGTATTTTTGCATCTATGTTCATCAGTGACACTGGCCTGTAATTTTCTTTTTTTGTAGGATCTTTGTCTGGTTTTGGTATCAGGGTGATGGTGGCCTCATAGAATGAATTTGGGAGTGTTCCTTCCTCTGCAATTTTTTGGAAGAGTTGGAGAAGGGTAGGTGTTGACTCTTCTCTAAGTGTTTGATAGAATTTGACTGACTGTGAAGCCATCTGGTCCTGGGCTTTTGTTTTGTTTCTTGGGAGTTTTTAAATGACAGTTTCAATTTCAGTACTTATGATTGGTCTGTTCGTATTTGCTACCTCTTCCTGGTTCAGTCATGGGAGATTGTGCCTAAGAATCTGTCCATCTTATTGGCATAGAGTTGCTTGTAGTAATCTTTCATGATCCTTTGTATTTCTGTGGCATGTGCTGTAACTTCTCCTTTTTCATTTCTAATTTTATTGATTTGAGCCCTCTCCCTTTTTTTCTTGATGAATCTGGCTAAAGGTTTATCAATCAGTTTTGTTTATCTTCTCAAAGAACCAGTTTTACAGTTTTAGTTTCCTTGATCTTTTCTTGTTTTCTTCATCTCTATTTGCTTTAGGTGTAAGGTTAGGTTGTTTATTTGAGATTTTTCCTGTTGTTTCCTGAGGTAAGACTGTATTGCTATAAACTTTCCTCTTAGAACTGCTTTTGCTACGGCCCATAGGTTTTAGATTGTCATGCTTTCATTTGTCTCTAGGTATTGATTTCTTCAGTGATCCATTGGTTATCTAGTAGCATATTTTGTAGCCTCCATGTGCTCGTGTTTTTTTACACATTTTTCCTTGTAGTTGATTTCTAATTTCATAGCATTGTGGTTGGAAAAATGCTTGATATGATTTCAATTTTCTTAATTGTAAATCGAGGTTTGCTTTGTGGCCCAGCATGTGATCTATTCTGGAGAATGTTCCATGTGCACTTGACAAGAATTGACAAGAATGTGTATTCTGCTGCTTTTGGATGGAATGCTCTATAAATTTCAATTAAGTCCATCTGGTCTAGTGTGTCATTTAAGGCCTGTGTTTGCTTATTGGTTTTCTATCTGGATGATGTCTATCACTGAAAGTGGGGTGTTAAAGTCCCCCACTACTATTATTGATCCCTTGATCATTATGTAGTGTCCTTCCTTGTCTCTTGTAACATTCTTTATTTTAAAGTCTATTTTGTCTGATATGAGTATTGCTATTCCAGCTTTCTTTTGATTTCCATCCCCTCACTTTCAGTCTGAATGTGTCCCTAGAGCTGAGGTGGGGCTCTTGTAGACAGCATATATACAGGTCTTGTGTTTGGATCCATTCAGCTAGTCTGTGTCTTTTGGTTGGAGAATTTAGTCCTTTACATTTAAGGTAATTATCAATATGTATGTTCTTACTGCCATTTTGTTTTGGATTTTGTGGTGAAGGTCTTTTTTTTCTTCCCTTCCTCTTTTGGTCTCTCCCCTTGTGATTTGATGACTATCTATCTATCTTCAATGTTGTTAGGATTCCTTTTTGTGTGTGTGTATCTATCTATCTATTGTACATTTTTGGTTTGTGGTTCACATGAGGTTTTGATATAGCAGTCTATATATAAAGAAGATCGTTTGAAAAGTTACTGGTCTTTACTTTCAAATGCATTTCCAATATCCTGCATTTGTGCTCTCCTCTTCTCATGATTGCTGGTTGTGATATCATATTTGTGTGGCTTGAGAGACAGCCAAGAGCTAGGGCAGGGTTGAATGATAAGGTTCATCTCCTACATGAGGCTACTCCTTCAAGACTGAGAGAGGTGGTTGTTTCGGCTACTATATAGAAACCAAAGAGTCAAGGAAAATGAACAGAGGAATATGTTGCACATGAAACAAGACAAAAACCTCAGAAAAAAGTCCTTAATGAAACTGAGGTAAGTGACTTAGTTATCTGATAAAGAGTTCAAAATAAATAATGGTCATAAAGATGTTGCTGTACTCAGGAACATCAGGAAAGGAATGGATAAACTCAGTGATAACTTCAAAAGAAGTC